TTAGTTGACCATAGAGTTGAGGGTCCATTTCTGGGCTCTCTGTTCTGGTCCATTGATCTATGTGTCTACAACTGGGTATTGAGGATTAAATAGGATTAGAGTACGCTGAGTTGGAGAACAGAGGTATTAGGAAGTATTTTCCAGGCAGAGGAAGAACTATGAAGAAAGACAAATGCATGAAGCATTTTTGGAAAACGAAGGTGAATAATGGGAAACAAGGTTGGAAAGGTAGGATGGGCCCCAGGTTTCAGAGGACTACAAATTATGGGCTTCGTTAGTATAAACTGTACCATCCCACAGGGTGCCTTTCCACTTAACTTCTATCTTCAGTGTCTTTCACCAATATTTGGTGGTTTTCAGGGTAGAGATCTTTCAGTTCTTTGATTACATTTAATCCTAAGTATTTTGTTTTTGATGGTGTTGTAAATGGGATCGTCTTTATTTTTCAGATACTTTGTTATCAGTACATAGAAATACTGCTGCTCTTGGAATGTTGGTTTTTGTACCCTGCAGCTTTACTGAGTATATCCATTAGCTCTAACAGGTTTTGGTGGAGTCTCTAAGATTTTGTGTTTATGAAAACATGTGTGCAAATAAAGACTTGTGGCTAGGATTTCTCGTGTTGTGTGGAGTTGTGGTTACCCCGCCTCCCTCCTGACCCTGACGTATGACTCTGAGGACCGCTGGAGGCCTGTCCTACGGGGACTTCACTGTATGGAAGGGTATTCCTTCCATATCTAAGGTTTTATCATGAACAGATGTTGAATTTTGTCAGATGCTTTTCTGTGTCTAGAAGAACCAAAACCGTGTGATTGCAGTCTGTTAGTGCCGTGTGTCACATGGATCTATTTGTGCAGGTCTGCCCATCCTTGCATCCCAGGGATGAGTGATCCTATCAATGGGCTGAATTCTGTTGGGTAAAAAAAATGCTTGCATTTATATTCACGAGGGATTTTCCTTCAAGTTTTCTGGTTTGTCCTTTTCTGGCTTTGGTATTAGGGTGATGCTGGCTTAATGAGTTTCGGGCAGGTGGGGGCCCTGGCTGCCTCAGTCAGTAGGGCCTGTGACCCTGTGACTCCTGATCTCATGATGTCATTAGTTCAAGCCCCACGTTAGGCATAGAGAGCACTTCTAAAGAATTTGGGAGTGTTCCCTCCTCTCTTTTTGGGAAGAATTTGGGAAGGATTAGCATTAATTCTTTGGTTAAATTTACCAGTGAAGCCATCTGGTCCTGGGCTTTTCTTTATGGGGAGATTTTTGATTAGTGATTCAGTCTCCTTACTCCTGACTGGTCTGTTGAGAGTTTCTACTTCTTGTGGATTCGGTCTTGGTAGAGCTCTTCTCAGCTGTGGTCGGGCTGTGGTGGCCACACCGTGGCTCAGCCCCCCTGCTGGGCGGGAATAGACCAGGCTCCAGGGCTGATGAGTTTCTTCCGAGGACCGAACGGGGCAGAGCTGCAGCAGGTCTTGGGTGGGGACAGCGCTCCCGCTTCTGCAGGTGGGACGTGTCTCTGCCCCCTCCAGACCAAGTGCTGCCTGTTGTAAGCCCCCTGCTTCGGTCTCGCGTCCCCAGTGGTCGAGGCCACAGCGGGGGACAGCCTCTGTCTTGCTGTGCGGGTCTGTGCACTGTTGGGGTATTTGTAGCTGGTGTGTATTTCTAACATGAATGTACCTGATTTTATAATTCTACCCAACAGAATAAAGCAGCATGAACTGAGCATCCTGAGCAGGGCTTGTCAAACGTTGCTGTTCTGGAAAATCACCAGGTAGGAGTGTTGGAACATGGATTCAGGAGGTCTGGGGTGGTGCTGACGAATTTCTGCTTCTACCAAGTTTCCAGGTGATACTGCAGGTCCAGCCAGCCACACTTCACCCCTAAAATATGCCTCTTCAGTTGGGGCTTTTCATTTCTCTTGAGTTTGAGGAAATGAAGCAAAACCACACATACAAAACTCTTAGATGGAGAACAAAATTTTATTCTAAAAATAGATCTCAGTAACAATGAAATACCAAAAGCTGGTCATTATAATAAAAAGAGAAAAGGAATTTGCTTTGTTTCTCCTGAAAAATACAAAATTCTTACTAATAAATTGCCCATTCTCATTTATCTGTATGGGAAATACTCATGTTTTGGATTATCTAAAGTCCTTGATTGGATTCTGAGAGATCTTCAAGTAAATTACATTCTCAAGGAACGCAAACAGAAGTATCTGCTGAAGTAAACATAATTAGGACATGAATTACAGGCTTAGGAAATGTGCGCCCTGGGGGAGCAGTGGTTCGTGCCCCCGCTTCCAGACAGAGAAGGCAGTTTTTAGACCCAAAGCACAGGCAGCTGGAAAGGGGTTTAATGGCATTTCTTCCACGTGCTGCAGAAACAGGCCTGGCTCCAAGGTTCTGACGGGCGTCAAGCCGGCAAGAGACGGAATAAGTTCGGTTTAAAGGCCCCCACCATAAGATAGAAGCATATACTTGTAAGTATATTTTGCAAAGACATAAAAGCAGTTCGAGACCAGGCAGGTGCGTTGTAGGTTACTAAGCAGCCCACCTCTCTGCAAACTGGGGGCCCACCGTGCACCTCACCTCAGTGGGCCCTAGTGCACAGTGAGTAGAAATGATGCTTTTATATAAAAATTCTTGGCATTCTCTGAAAACAAAAAGCCGATCACAAGTTACATTTAAATCCTATTCGATGTAGAGTGGTGTCATTAGGACATCTAATACAGTATTTCTATATTGGCTGGTCATTTAGTAGGACTAAATACTTTTTTTTTTTTTGCCAAACTTGACCCTGAGTTTTGGCTGCTGTAATATAAACTATAAGCCGAACCCTCAGACCGACGTTGACGGACATGGGTGTCCCTCGAACACTGTGGTCTTACCGTAAAACAGCTGAGTCCCCTCCACGGGAGACAAGGGGCCTGAAGAGTCCTAAAAGTTTGTTTTAAAAACTTGAGAATTAATCCCAATACAAAGATTTCTTTAGTATAAAAATGCAGCATTGTCCCCCTCCAGGTGGAGGCCGTCCTCCCTGGGCTGAGGGACCGAGCCCTGCAGGTTGTCTGGAAATCGCAGAGGGGGCGTAAGGTAGGGAGGCTGACTCTGCGTCGTACAGGATCCTAGCTACTGAAAGAAGCTCTACACCTCTTACAAATATTCCCTAAACATAAAATTAACTGTTGCATATGAAATAAAGCAATTTCCAGTAGTCTTGCAGTAGCAAAAAACCTAACTCCATCTTTAAAACTTTGTTCAACATTGCAGTTTACTGAAATTACACAGAGGCAAAAATACTTTTAGCTGCATTGCCATTGAAAGCTCAAAAGAGGCTGTAACGAGAACACAGGCTCTCTCGCAGTCTAGTTCTGAGCGGGGGCTGAGGGCAGTGCATTTTGTTTCTAAACCCGGTACTAAGCTGTACGATAAGCCCAAGGCCCGCATCTGTGGGTGCAGAGGGCACAGCGCCCTTCAGGGACGAGGTCTTCCAGTTACTCTCCTGTGTGACCAGCGCCACACAGAAGGGGTGGACTTGTCTTACTATGTGTTTTTTAACATTAACTATATGCTTCAAATACTCATTTAAAAAACCCAAACCAAACCCTTTTTACCTTTAGTAACAGGAATCTACATGTTTCTGTAGTACATTGTACATTATGCATGGCCTGTGTATTCAAGAATAACTAAAATTAATTGATAGGGTTATCAATCTTCTTTCCATGGGTCCTTGGATTTCCTTAAATGATGGCATCATGTTCATCACTGTAATAGATCAAAAGTTAAAATTACTTTGTTTTGTATTTGCATCAAAACGGTTTTTTATCTAATTTTTAAATGAGTAACTTAAAGCTCTAGGATCAACATTGTCCTTTCTTTATGTAAACTTTGTACGGCTAGGGATTCAAGCAGATTTACACTCAGACCTCTGCTCTAGAATTTTTTAAATTTTATTATGTCAATCACCATATATCATTAGTTTTTGATGTGTTCCATGATTCATTGTTTGCATATAACACCCAGTGCTCCATGCAGAACACGCCCTCTTTAATACCCACCACCAGGCTAACCCATCCCCCCTCCCCTCTAGAACCCTCAGTTTGTTTCTGAGTCCATCGTCTCTCATGGTTCATCTCCTCCTCCGACTTCTCCCCCCTCCTTTATTTTGCCCTTCCTACTTTTTTTTTTTAAACATAATACATTGTTTCAGAGGTACAGGTGTGATTCAGTCTTGCATAATTCACAGTGCTCACCATAGCACATACCCTCCCACCCCCCACCACTCCAGCAACCCTCAGTTTGTTTCCTGAGATTAAGAATTCCTCCCATCAGTGAGGTCATATGATACATGTCTTTGACTTACTTCGCTCAGCATAATACCTTCTAAATCACCCACCCCAGCACCCACGATTCCTTGAACATTTACTTTGTTAGGTGCAGTAGACTCCACCTGTATCTCACGTAATCAACTCCATCACTCCGTCGTCCCATTTCACTGAGGACCGGAAGCTAAGGCAGCGTGGGATGGTCCCCTGCTGCGTCCACACTGAGCACCAAGCCCATCCGTGAACGCTGCACTCTGCTGGCCCAGCCGATAACGGGTTAGTGCTCACTCCTAGATATGCAAGGCCTCAGTTTCTTTCATGGGACAAACAAAATACTACACCGCATAAGAACTTCCCCGACATCGAAGCAACTCCTGGCTTTTAAATGCACTAGGAAAAACGGCCGAATGAACTACAACACAATGCTTTTTCACCCCCCAGACTGTAGCATACGTCCTAACTTCAGACAGGTTAACGTGGGAAAAGTCAAAACAACGTGTAGACTCAGTACGGGATCTTCTCTGTGCCTGTGGAAGACTCTGGGTGGGGTGAGTCTGCTGCCCCTGGGCAGCAGGCCGCGGCCATGAGCTCACAGAAGTTAAAATGACATGCTGTGTAGTCACGGCAACTTAAAATGAAAACACAACTTACCTGCTTCACTATTTTATAGCCTCATTTACATCAATAAACTGATACTATGAAAAAAGTGGCATTGAATTCACTGATCAAAATGTACCTTCTGTTTAACTGGTGAAATTCACCAAAAACATGATAAATACTTCTAGAAACACAGAGGGATATCTAACAAGTTAACTCTAGTCCGTTTCCTTAGTGGGTTGATCTAAAGAATGTTTCCAAATATGCTGGCAAAACACCTTGATACTCTTTGAAAGTGAGTTTGTTAAAGCCTGGTGTTTTTTAGTTCGATAAATTTGAGAAATACTTTCATGTTCTGTTCCCTCCTGGAAACTCATAACGAGCACCAACATCTCCAAGCCTTCGAGAATTCTGTAGTAAAGTAAGCTGTTTCACTTTGTTAAATCAGTTCCAGATCCGCCTGACGTGTAAAGTTCGTGTGGGACACACGTGTGTGTCCTCTGGAGACTAGTCATTCTGGGGAGTCTTTGCTAACAGTCAAAACAATGAATTGGCTCTTGTACTCCAGTAACAGTCAAAAAGGACTCAGAAACAGAAGCTAGGAGATGAGCCCTCCAAGACCTACAGGCCCGTGGAAGGGGCGCATGTGGTCCCCCGAGGAGGCCTTGTTGGTAAGATGATGACATCTGTTAACTCATTTATAACAAGTTATCAGAGAAAACGAGACTGCATTAGAATTTAAAACCATGTTTCTAGCAAGGATACACCTCCGTGCTGTGGGCAAGAACCAGGCGAACTGGCCGCACCTGCTGAGGCCTGAACGGGTGTTTCTTACGCTTAGAGGCCTGAGTGAAAAGGGACAACGTGAGTAAATACAGCATTTTCATAGGCATGTGCATCCATTTGTGTTTAATGAACGATCTGCTTTGGGCACAGGGTTAATGGGAATGTGATTCCTACACCTGGGGCCCTGTTGTGGCATTTCGTAGCGGTATTTAAGGAAATACAGAAATAACAAGTTCTGGCCAGTCAAAACTCACATGGTTCTATACCGAATGCCTCTTCTCGAATAGTACATTCTGCATCCGATGTAAAGAATCGACAGAACTCCCAGTGTTAACACAATACCGCCGAGAAAGCTGCCAATATCAAATTTTGATCTTGGATTTCCTTTAGAATTAATAGTTGGTGTGACTAGAAGAAAACAAAAAATTGGCTTTAGTTGCTTTTAAACAACATCATTATTATAATCTGCCACTCTGAATTTCTAAGCAAGCCTAAAGCCTCCTTTGCTTTGGGTGACGGCTGGGTTCTGGGTCCCCCCAGCTGATCTAGCACTTCTCCCCCACCCCACCCCACGTGCAGGTCTTCTCCCCATGTGCCCCCCCCCAGCTGCCTCCCTAGGGTTGCCACCCCAGCATCTGAGGGTCTTTGTGCTGCTGGACCCCGACCTTCGACCACAGTCCCCAAGGCAGCACCATGTGGGGAATCCGTTTCCTTATTGGTTCTCGTAAGAGTTGATGCCTTCACCACAGGCCTGGGCACCACGGCAGTGATCCTGCCACTGGATCCAGTCTGAATGGTTCTAACTGAAAATTCTCCTTTTGAATAAATTGGGGACTTAACTGTTTTGACTTTCATCACATCAAAAACCCTTGAGACATTACAGTTGATTTCAGAACATAAACTATAGTAAGGAAACCGGAGTGGAAACCATAAAGCCTGCTGCTTGTGCTGATAAATGTAATCACGAGCTGACCTCTGAATACATGGAAAGGTCAATGTTTAGGTTCTGAATTCGTGGTCTCCCAGGCATTTTATTTGAGACGAATGCAAAGAGTGAACAGTGCTGGCTGTCCACAGTGCTTGCCCGAGACCACGTGAAGAGCTCGATGGCAGGAATGAGTGAGAACCACGTTAACTGCAATTGGGGTTTAGGAACCCCAGGGGCTGATGCTGCCTAGTTCTGCCGTGTACCCAGGGACCTGGAGGTCCAGGCAGGACACGTTTTCAAACCATATAATGACAGTTCCCTGCTAGGACACGTCCCCTATCGTCATCGTGTGGCCTCATTAAGTCGGAAACAAATTTTCCACAGGGACAAGCGCAGCAGGATCGATCCGCTGATGAATGCACTAGGACAGCCTGTCCGCATTCTATTTTTGTGGAACGGAATGACAATGGGAATGCGGCATGGGACACCTGTGTTCAGCACAAACCGGGCGGCTTGGATACGTACTCGTTACAGATGAAGAAGTGGACGTGGCTGAGCTGTTGTGGGCGGTGCTGGTCACTGTGGCCGGCGTCGTCTGGGTTGTGTTCTGTGAAACTGAGCTGCTGTTAGTCCTGTTGGCGGAGGCTGCGGGTGTTGTAATTCGAGGTGTTGCTGTGGATGTCAAGGCTGTGACTGTCTCGGTCTTGGACGCGGAAGACTGTGGGGTCGTCGGCTGTCTCATGGTGCTGGTGGGCTGGCTCGTGTGGTTGGAGGTCACAGCAGTGACATTCTCTGCAAGAGGATCGAGAGACGTAAGCACTGGCGCAGAGGCTCAGGGAATCAGGACCCAGTCTTGGTGGCCTTCGTGGTCGGTACAGCAGCCCGGGATGCTGAGCCGGCCGACGCCAGCACTTTTACAACCACCCAGGATCTCAGACGGTAAACGACCCTGCGGGGTCCCTGCTGCACTTCCACGAAGCTAGGAACTTGTGGAAGATAGGAAGGAACCCAGAGAACCGCGTTCCTTCGGGACAAGGACCGAGTCCTAACCATCGCTGTGGGGACCTCCCACCGCCGTCCCACCCCAAGTGTCTGGCGAGTGGACAGACGGACGGAGGAAGGGTTTTTCACGGCGTAGTTTCTGTGCCACCTCCTTCCCCAGAGCTTCGGACAAGCGAGCGAGCGTGCGTTGACCCCCCCGCGGGCCGGGGCCCCGCTTCTCTGGGAGGGTCAAGGCTGCGTCCCACCGTGCGCTGGGACGCCACCTGCTGGTGAAGGCTTCCTAAGTCCCAACACCTGGCCCAGCGCCTCCGTTCACGAACCTGACGTGCAGGTTTGCGTGCAGAGGAGCAGCTACCAGTCCTGTCACGACTCCCCGAAGAGCCTAAAGAGAAGACTCCTCTCTTAGCCATGTGTGTACATATCAGCCAGGCTGTGCCCGAAAGCCAGCTTGCTTCATGTGGTACCTGCTTCCTAACGTCACCACCTCACCCCTTTCCAGCCACGGGCGCCTTAGTCCCTGGAATCTAGTCGATGCTCTCTTTGCCCCTTTAAGTGAACGCGTGGATTCCTGCGTTTGTTTCTGCATCTCCAACATCCTTACAGGCTCACTGGTCCCCTCCGCCGCCCGCGTCAGCCCGGTTCACTCTGGCCGTCCAAGCACCGGCGTTGGAGGGCGGACGCCCGGGCCGTCCTGCCCCAGCGGCTCTGTCCCGCACCCACACTGCTTGCTTCCTATACCAACTCCCCATCTTCCAGTAATTTTGGACTTTTTCTTGAAAGACTTTTGGTACTTTTTTTTTTTCAGTTTAACTGTACAGGCTGATTTTAATAGTGCTGATTATTTGCCTATCAGATTTTACTATTCAAATTCCTTGTATGTTTCCTCAACTTTGAGTCCCTACTGTATGGTCTCACCCACAGAGTATTATCTAGTTTTTAAAAAAGGCCAAAGGAATACCTTTGTACTATACAGACCAATAAATTATAGTTATTCCAAGTAGAGGATACGAATGATAAAAACCTGAACTCACCTGAGTGCTCTCTATAGAGATAATACACTTTAGAAGGGAAATACTCCTCCTTGAACTAGTGCATGAATGCTACTGTACTGAAATAGAGCAAAGAACCAGCACATCTTCAGAATGATCTTTGCAGAGCAAAACAGTGAACACAACGTGCTTGTGGACGCGGCACACACGTGAGCCCGTTCCCCTCTCTCGGCCGGAAGAAGTTCCTTGAGCTACTGGACAGAGTCGCAGGGGTAGAAGTAGGGAGCTGCAGTAGGTTTATCCAAATACGAAAATCCAACAAATGTGTTAGAGAAACAAGCAGCTCAGCATTTCTACAAACTGACAAAACAGGCAAGTAAGTTCTGTATTAAGCCATGTCACGACGTGTTGACGTGTGAACTGCGATCCAGGGAAGCTCCCGAGGCCAGTGCTCACATCCACGAACGCGACGCCCTTGCCTGGGATTCGAGTGCCAGCTTGTCTGCACCCCTCTGCGAACAACGCCATTCCTCCCGCCCCAGCCCTGACTCTGCCTGCACCCCAGCCGGGCCGCGCCCACCAGCCTGGGGTGCAGGTGCAGGTGAGGGAGGCAGGTGGGCAGGGAAGGGCGGCAGCAGGTACAGAGCAAGTCACCAGGATGCACCACGTGGCGCGGTGAACGCATCTGAAGGCTGCGGAGAGTCCATCTTCGAGGTTGTCATCACAAGGAAGAAAAACCGTCCCTGCATATGGCCCACACTGTCTACTGGACTCCTTGTGGTCCCCTCGCAGTATTCACAAATGTTGACGCGCGGCGGGTCCCTGAGACCAAGAGATGTCGTGTGTCAATTACATCTCAGTAAGAAAAGTACTAAAAAATCAAGAAGTGCCTGTCAAGGCACCAAGAGGGCAGGTAGCGGGAGAGCGTCAGTGGCCATGTGTCCGCTCCCACCTCTGCCCACGAAGGACAGAGATGCCCAGATGTCAAGCCCGGCTGCCCCGAGAGCTTTTGAGGGGACACAGAGACTGGAAAGGACTCCGGCCTGATGCGTTCTTCTCAAGGTGCTGGGGCTGGTGTGTCTCCACCTGTCAGTGAAGTTTAAACGGCTGAACTGGGAGAAGACTTCACGCTGACGGCCAAGGTGCTCGTTCCCCACGAACCACATCAGGCTGCGCTGGAGACCGCCGCACGGGGTGGCCCTCCACGACCGCCTCAGGACAGAGTTCCACACGACGGGGCGACGGCAACCAGCAGGGAGGCCGAGCGCCGAAAGTGGGGGCCCAGGGTGTGTGCAGGGAGGGTCGGCAGGGGGACAGGCCCCTGCAGCAGGAACCACAGGTGCACCTCTGCCCCATGCAGACGTCCCAGCCTTCCCTCAAACGCTCATCCCGTCAGGGTCACAATCAGCAGGAGTGGGGGGACAAAGGCAGAGCACAGATGGAAGCCAACAACGCCCACTCCCCGCTGCAAACCGCCAATCCTGCAGCAGGCCGCAGCGGGCACAGGGGAGAAACCCTCAGCTTGGCTGGCCATAGAGGTTTAGTATTTCGGGGTTATTCTGGAAAGCAGGGGCACCCTATATATGACTGTCGACTGTTGGAAAGCGGACATAAGGAGGCCAACCCCTCGGCTGGAGCAGGGGGAGGGGCGTGGCGGACACGCAGCTATCGGGGCTCAGGTCAGGGAGGAGCTGCGTCCTCTAACACTCATGCTGAAATCCTGATCCCCAGCACCTTACGATGTGACCTTAGTTTGGAGACAGGATCTTAACGAAGGGATGGAGTTAAAATGAGGTCATTAGGAGGGGCCTTATGAAGAGGGAAATGGGTAACGGGTGCCCTTGTTAGCTGGGGAACGCGTACACGCACACACGAGATGCCACATGGGGTGAAAGCCATGGGCACCAGCAAGCCACCACCAGCCAGGCCGGGGCGCGCCTGGTTGGTGACCGGGGGAGGTCTCCGGGGGGGCTGCACTCGCAGCACCATGCCTGCGCCAGGGAAACGCCAACGGTTCCCCCTCTCTTGGGATAAACGGATCCCCCCTCGAGAGCTGCACCCGAGGTCCCCCCATGGGTGTCTGCAGGGCCACCCCACTGCCCTCGGAGCCACGTCAGAGGAAGAGCATGCTGCCTCTTCCTCGGTTCTTTGAGGCAATTACCCAAAAAGAGAAGCCAGGCCCGTTTCCACGACAAGTACACGTACGGACCTTCTTGAGAGTCTCTGTTTATTCCTGTCCTGTTACTGCTCCACTTTCCTTACGCCTGTAGCCTCGGGTCCAAAAACACCTAAGTGCCGTTTCCCCCTTCAACCTAAAGATTTCGAGGTTAAGGGTGACCGTTTCTTTTCATCAGGGCATCAAATACACACACTGGGGTTGAAATGCACAAGTAGTAGTTATTATTAAATATGGGATGGTAGTATCTTTTCAGTCCTATTCCCGTTGTCGAACATACTGTGCTACTGAAGACACGGCGTGAATTTCTGGTGCTGTGAGTTCTGAGCTGTGTGGGATTCTGAGCACAACCTGCAGCCTGAGCAAATCACGGATGACCGCAGGTGTGCGGCCCGGGGAGTATTCTGCACACGGAGAACCTCTTTCCTCTAGAAAGCAACAACGAACAGCAGTTCACTCCCAGGTGTATTATCTAGAAGCAGAGGCCTTCCCTCCCTGCACAGACAGGAGACTCATTCCAAAAATTCTAAATTCTAATGACCTGAGGACCAAAAATCCACAGAACTGAAAAATCTAGATTAAAATAGGATCTAAGAGGAAACTGGGCTTTAAAAAAAAACAAAACTACTGTCATAAAGAAGTGTGCTTTCTCTGAAAATCAAATATATTTTACAAGTTCCTAAGTTAAAATTCCAAAAGGGAAACCGACTGTATCCATCAACACAGAAACATAATTTGGGTGTTTTAAATAAGGTCTCCTGTATCGGTGATGGGCTGTTCGTCCCAGCGCCGCTCGGGGAACAGCTGAGCAGAGCCAGGAGCGCAATGTCCCCGCTTTAGCCCGAGGCCTCGCCCATTCTGCTCCCGGTTAGTCCCCCGGCTAACGACAAAAAAGACACGGATCACAGTCAAAGGGCATCCGCAAGAACAGTAATTTCCCTCTCTTCCTGCTCCGTGGCACAGAACTCCCCAGCACACCCCGGCCCCGTGCGCCCCCGGCCC